AAACATGAATAATAAGCCATGATGCATATTTAACTTATTTATTATGGACAGTTTTATGCATGAATTATCCAATATACCTAAAGAATCCACATGCGCTGATATATTTCTCATTCTATAAACCAAATATAAGTCTAAATCAACAAGGAATCATAGATGAGTAAGGAATCACAGTTTTTAGAGTTTCAGCCAATGCAGTTAATCCAATTCAAGGCAAAATTTTGACAGCAAGTCAAAATGGGCAATCAAAAATCTCAACTAAATCCAAATAGGCATCCCTAAAATCCACATAAAACACCAAAAAAGATCTCTAAAAATGAATAAACGAATCACCTGAAACGCTTGTAAGCCGGGAGAGAGAGAGCTCGCGTGCGTGGGGAGAGAGCTCGGGAGGAAGAAAGAGCATAGAGAGAGTTCGGGAGGAAGAAAGAGCATAGAGAGAGCTCGGAAGGGAGAAAAAGCACAGAGAGAAGGCGGTTGGGTGAAATGGAAGAGTATGGTTAGATCACAGCCATTGATTTATTTTGATGGAGGGAAAGATGGTAATTATAAATTTACTGCACTTTCACCATTCCCACTACCCTCCTTCCATCCAAATAGGCTATAAAAGCTTGGACTTTGTGGCAAAATTGGTGTGGATTTCTTCAATATAACTACGAGTGTTAGAGAGTGAATGATTGCGAGCTTGATTTTTGGGGCAAATTTGGTGTGATTTGTTGGGATTTCGATGCATTTAGAGATTACTGGTTTGTGTGTGTTGCTAATATTGAAAATATTGACAAATTATTATATAAACTATACTTTTTGTTACTACGAAATTGGTCTTTATGTGTTATGATTGTGTTCTTTTAGAACCGCACATAATGTGTTTGTTGTTTTGCTTTAACTAGAGAACTTGGCGTATGTTGAATTTAATGGTTAAAAAATAGATTGATCTCACTATGAAAATCATAAAATTATTTACATCTATACAAATGAAATAAAATTGAAGTAGAGATCAATTGACATGACGGCCTATTGACATCATTTCCCTACGTTTTGGGTCGTCGTATCAAGTACATGTTAACTTTTAGCTAGTACTATTAACTATATCCACTACTTGTAAATTTTAGCTGGTACCTGTTAACTATATCTGATATCTGTTAACTTTAAGAGTACCTATTAACTATATTCAATACAAGTTAACTTTAGTCATTGCGTATTAATTATATGCAGTACCTTAGCAAGTACCTGTTAACTATACATCTACCTGTTAACTATACCCAGCTTCTATTAATTATATTCATTGCCTATTAACTTTACCTAATACATGTTGACTATTTTCCAATACAAAGATGATTCCACAAGCATATTTTACTCATCTTTAAGCAAAAGAAGACAAACAATATAACTCAAAGCTGTATATATATGATGACAATGGATTTCAGTTATCTGCTTCACTCTTAACAGCCAGCACATAAGCTTAACAACTGACGAAAAAGCTTAACAACCAACGCATAAACTTAACAACTAATGAAAAACTTAACAATCAACGCATAAGCTTAACAATTAATAAAAAAAGCTTAACAAATGCATAAACTTGACAACCAATAGATAAGCCTAATAACTGATGAGCAAGCATAACAATAAACGTATAAGCTTAATAGCCAACGTATAAGCTTAACAACTGGTGAAAAGCTTAATAACCAACGCTTAAGCTTAACAACTGACAAAAAATTAACAACCAACACATATGCTTAACAACTAACAAAAAAGCTTAACCAATGCATAAACTTAACAACCAATGCATAAGCTTAACAACTGATAAATACGTTATTTAACAACAAATGCATAAACTTAACAGCCAACGTATCTTAACAACTGACGAAAAAGCTTAATAACCAATGCATTAGCTTAACAGCAAACGTATAAGCTTAATAACTGACGAAAATGCTTAACAACTAACAAAAAAGTTAACAACCAACACATAAGCTTAACAACTAAGGGGAAAAAACTTAACTAAAGCAAAAGTTTAACAACTAATATATAAGCTTAACAGCTAACGTATAAGCTTAATAATAAATGCATAAGCTTAAAATTCAATGACTATGCTTAACAACTAACGAAAAAGCTAAACAAATGTATATTAGCTTAACAAACAATGCATAAGCTTAACAACTAGCAAAAAAGCTTAACAATAAATACATAAGCTTAACAACCAATGCATAAACTTAACAACTAGCAAAAAACTTAACAACAAATGAATAACTGAATAAAAAAGGGAGCGAAAGATACACAAATAACTGAATAAAACTTAACAACTAATAAAAAAGCTTGACAACAAACACAAAACCTTCACAACTAACTCATAAGATCAACAACTAACTGGTAAGATTAACAACTAATTCATAAGTTTAACAACTAAATCACAAAATAGATAGCTGATTCTTTATCTTTGAATGTTCAACTAAAATACTTTAAAAAATTGAAACCGGTGAACTAAAAAAACTAGATAGAAATAGAAAGAGGAGGAACAATGAAAATAACTGAAAATATGCATTTGCTCAAAATTAAAAAAAAATACAGTACATAACATTCCACTAACATATTCCACCCATTGTTCATTGGAAGCTTGTGCTGGATTTCAAAGTTAAGATGAATATAGCCTAAACTTATGATTCTATATTTCAACCTATTTTTTGTTCAATTTACCATTAATTTCCAGATAACTTCATTGAAATCAGACTCAACCTCCACTAACTACTCAAATATCACTCAAATATCTTCTTTGAATCATCCCAACTCACGTCTCATAACTCCACGAGCAATGGCGGGAATCCCAACACACTACCATCACCCAGATCTCTAGCCAACTCAGATCCAAGTGGGCTCTCGACTCCTTCATCGACCCCCATCTCCAAAATCGACGGGCCTAGTTTACCGCCGTCGTTAATGGAGATGTCATACTCTCTTACTCCTGTCGTTATAGAATCTACCATTAGGGAGGGAAGGGTAGTAGTGCAGGAGGCTATTGGAGGTTCAAGGGAGGGACGAGCTCCGTCGTTGCCGATCAGCGATGAGGGCTGGAGCGGAGAAAAGAAATTGAATTGTTTAAGGCTTTTTTTATTTTAAGGAAGGAGGGAGGAGGGAGGAGGGGGCATTTGGGATTTTTAAAAATAAAGTACATTGATGAGGACACATGTGAGCTGAAGGGGTTTGATTGTTTACAAAATTTAATTTTGAGGGTTTTTTGGGTGTTGAAAAAGTCTTGGGAGAGGGACGAATAAAATTTGTTATTTTGGGGGCTAGAAGCAATTTTCCCTTTCAAGAAAGAGTTTTCTCACATTTGACCCTACATTTATCAAATATTTCATTAAATAGTCCAACTACCACTAAGTCAAATTTGAATTTGTTGATAAATAATAATTATAGTATGGAGAAATTTTTAAAATAGATCACATCGCAAATTTAATTATCAAAATCAACCAACTTGCAACCACGTCAGCAGCTATCGCTAAAAGAGAGTCGATTCTGAAAATACACAATTTTCATAATATACGGGATTGTCAATCCCGTGCAATTAGAAAAGTTTACTAATTATATGGGGTTGGGAATCCTAACTAAGCATAATTGTAGTAGTTTGCGAAGTGGTTTTCTCAAAGAGAGTTGGACTTCAATTAACTGATGATTGGGCTTGAGTTTGAATATCTTCATTGCCAACATTATTTTATTTTTCTATTTATCTATTCAAAAGCAAAAAAAATTTAATTAATTCATAAATTGGCTAAGATTGGAAGTAGGGGTGTTAACGGAGCGGATACGGCTCGGATATGGCACTTACCATATCCATATCCGCTTACCCATCTCGGATACGGATACGGATACGAATATACGTCGGTAAGAAAAATTCATATTCATATCCGCCAAAATCGGATACGGTTACGGATATAGATGCGGATATATAAACGGATATGCATGCGGATACAAAAAGGATATGAGAAAACTAGATAGTATTCAGAAAAATATAGTCATGTGATACAAAAAGAGTTCGTTAATATGTTCATTATGATTGAAAAGCTAAGATTAGACATCTTGATCATCAAAATTAACCACAAATCCATAATCTAAGAATCGAAACTATCGTAAGAGTATTACCAATATGTATTCGGATTTTTTCGGATACGGATACAGATATTTCACTACAAAACCATATCCGCAACCATATCCTATCGGTAATAGATTTGAGTAACCATATTCGTATCCTAACGGATACGGTTACGAATATTTCCTCGGATACGGATACGGTTTGGCACCCCTAATTGGAAGCCATGCTCTTTCTGCACATGACTTGACACTTATTTTTTTTAACTACTTTGCCAGCTAATTATACAACAAAACGGTTCATAACAAAACATAACAAAACACATATAATTAGTGAATTGCTAAGTGATTAGTGCAAGTCACTAATTATTTCCAATCGAATAGACTTTCAAAACTATTTTTTTTAATCGACCAACTTTCAGCATTCCAAACCGACGTGACTAATATTAGGTCGATTTTGATAAATTAATTTGCACTAGGTCGACGTTGGTATTAAATTTATGATTTGGTTTATTACAAAATTTTCTCTTCATACTAATTTTGCATGGAAATGATAAAAAGGGATGTAAATTGAACAAGAATGAGTTTGTCAGAATATTATGTTAACTTCATCTCCAGATGTATGCATTTGCTATCCGTTCTCTAAATCCTCCTCTTTTCTCCCTGTGATGGTAAATAGCGTGAAATCCTAAACGGGCTTCTTCTTTTTATCAACAAGGACAATCAAGGAATCTCCTTCATAATAAGACCAAATCGTACCGCTAAGTTGTTTTCATCCCCTGCATAGTAATACCAATACTATTATAGAAAATAATATAATTCTGGCGGACTGAAAATAGAAAAACCGCGCATAAAATTCCGAATACCAAAAGTTTAGCAATAGTTAAGCTCTGATGTAATGGGTTTATAACTCAGCAAGAAAAGATGCAAATGAACTCATGCTTAAATACGAGATAACAAGACCACTTCCATCGCATTCACAACTAGAGGCCAACGTCGACAATGTGAAAATCAAAATTAGGTTACAAACCCAATAAGAGTTTAATGGTAAATCAAATATATAAGTAGCTTAACAAACAGCATATCTGAATATATCAAAGAATGCCCAGCAAAAATGACAGAATCCATGAAAACTGCTCGCTATGATGGACGATGCCCAATATATATATCATTCTTATCTCGCTCACGCGTGCATACTCCCCTTGCCTCCCTTTTTCCTCCCTTTACCTCCCCCCCCAACTTTTCCCCCTTTCCCCTTAAAACCACCACCCTTCCCTTTCCCTTTCCCTTTCCCAACCCTGCTTTTCTTCCCACCTCCCTTGTTCCCACTTCCCTTCGTCCTTGCATCCTTCTTCATCCTCGGATCCACCAACTTCTTCCCTTTCCCAGGCCTCACCTGGACTCCCTTCTTCGCAACCACGTACTCCCTCTCTGGCTTCTTCGGCGTCGCCTTCTTGTAGAGCTGCTCTATCATCTTCCTCTTCGACCTCTCAGATATATCAGTCTGGTCCGAGATTGAGTTTGACTTTTGCTTAACCTTCTCAAGCCTTTTCATTGCTGCCCGCTTCTTTCGGGCCTTTGCCTCTGCTACTTTCTTGGCGGGACGGGCGTCAATCTCTCTGAACTGTGCCTTCATTGCATTGATTTCTTCCTTGGTTATGGGCTTCATAGGTTGGCTGTGCTTCTTCTCTTCCTCCACAAACCATGTCGGCAAACCCTCATCATCGAACATGTATTTGTTGTAGGCGTCATCGAGAATCTCCTCTCTCTTTTTCTTTCTCAGCATTTTCTTGGCATATGCTAGTATTTCGGCCTTTGTGTCTTCATCTTCTTCCTCTGAGTCTGAATCATCGGAGGATGAAGAGGATGAGTCTTCATTTGTTTTTAAGGGCTCTGCTGGTACAACCTCAAAGTCCTCTAGCTCATCAGAGACTTTGGTTTTAGAAGGAACTGAATCTCTGGTTTTCGACTTTTTGGCAACCTTGGGTAGTGGTTTTTCTTCCTCCTCTTTTTCGTCTTCACTGTCGCTCTTTTGGAATAGACCATCTTCTGCTGCTTCGGCAAAGACATCTTGACTGAACCACTGTTCCATGATCTGCTCCTGAGTTGGCTGTTCTTCCTCTTGCAAAGGTACCATGAGAGGATTTTTTTCTTCCTTCATTTCCTCTTGGTCAAGATCCTGACCAGGTGTTAGGTCTTCACCATCATCTTCCTGCATTGTAAAGAGTATTACACCAAAAACTTACCAGTTTTAATAAGAATAGAAGAAAACTCTGCATTTTCCCCCCAACTGACGCATTTTCAGATTATGTTTCTGCCAACATAGAAAGGGCTGAATCCTAGACTAGGAAAAATATTTAAAATACCATAGCATGTCCGACCCCCCGATTTATCTCGGTTAAAAAAAGAAGCAAGTAGTAGAATAATTTAAGTCATAGATTCCTCTCTTACCTCAAACAACTCATCTTGACCATTAGTTCGGGCAAGTTTTACTCGTTTTCGCTGTTTGCTACTTCCTCCCTTTTTAGATATATACCGTTCATAGGCTTCATCAAGCATTTCCTCAAGGTGTTCATCATATCTATACAAAAGATTTATACATATCAACAGAAGAGGAAGAAAAGATGCAGCAACTAATAAAATCAAAGACATGAATACAAGACAAACTGCCCTCAGAAGTATGGCGAATGTACCGGTAAAATTAGTACTCACCGCTTCTGCTCTTCGTCAGAGTCCATTTCACCGGATTCCTCATGATCTTCTGCAGGAGAGGCCTCATCTTCACTGTCACTGACATTAAAGTCATTTTCTTCATCAATCTCTGTTGAATCAACAGCCTGAAGTTCTTTCTTTCCCTGGACATGGATTGTGTAAAAGATTGTCAGCTCGTAACATGGAACAAATATCAGAACAAAATTACAATCAGCCAAACAAACACAGTAGAATGCAGCCAGTGTGCAAACAGTAAAAAGAAATAATTTACTTTAAAAACATAACACAAAGAAAAGATGTCGATAAAAATAACAGTACTCAAATTGAAATGAAGAGTACATTGAGGCACTAAAATATCAAACAAATGGCATATACGCAGCAACTAATTGAAAATAAGGAAAAATGATGAAAAGTACACAGCAATAGCACCGCTTTAACATTCAGAATATTTAAGGAGGGCTAAAATTCCCATTAAAAGTACAATATCTGTTTTGTTCACACCTGTAAGAAAAATATGTAGTCCACTTATCATGTACATTAAGCATTATGACAAAACTCAAAAAACCAGCAAACATGATAATTAACACATGAAGGTCCAGAAATTTTTTTTTTTTTTGGCTCTCGAGAACCACAGTTCTTCCCTATTTTTGCCTGTAGAAAAGCAAAGGAGAACACCGTAATCTCTTGACTTTACTTCAAAGTACATATTTTAAATTTTAGAATCCAATACCAGTCCGTAGATGGTGTTAAAAAACAGCAGTTTATAAACAACTGCTGATTCCTTTCTTTATAAGACTTGTGCTAGATATGCAATACCTTTTTGATGGGGACGGGCTCAGGTGATGATTAAGATGGATAAGTTTTCAAAGATTTCATTTGTAAGCATTGACTAAACCTGTTTGTTAAGCTTGTAGACTTCATTTCTAAAAGCAGAGAATAGGCAGACGATTATACACAAGCAGTCAAGTAATTTCGCAAGACTAACAGATTGACATGACACCAAATGAATGCTGGTGATGCCAACTGGCCATTTTATCAGCTATTATTTTTGCAAGAGCCAAATGGATCAATGGACGACATCACAAACCTTAATAGAGGCAAGAGAAAATAATTCACGGTCATAATAACTGTCTTGGGTAGCATCGATTTGCATTCCAGTTGCTTTGCGCACTTTCTCCTAGAAAATTCACAACAACAATAAATTGGAGGTAAAAAAAAGTAACTATCCCAAAGAAACGAAACAGAGTTAACCGCAAACCTTCGCTCGGCGTTTTGCAAGAATCTTCTTCTCTCTCTTTTTCTTGCGTTCCAGAGCATTCGTCAATTCTTCCATTTCATTCAGTAGATTCTCATCCTCATCCCCCTTGGCATCTTTAGTGGGAGTATCTTTTGGAGTGACCTTATTAGTTGAAGAAAGCTCCTTTCTTATTCGCATGCGCCATCTATGAACACAACAATGAACAAATTAGCTCCTCTTCGATTTTCATGCATTTAAAGATGAATAATCCACTGACACTAGCCCCATATGTATAAGAGTATATGACCCTATCTTGACCGGAAAATGCAAAAGACTCGATGTGCAGAAGACTCGACTTGTTACCCATCTCTCATTTAAATAATTGGTATATCAAAATTTTATCTCCTTTATACCATGGTAAATGCCCGACAGTCCATGCATCCTAAACAAAAACAACCAGAAGGGGGAAAAGAAACAATTTGGCATTGGACTATGGTAGTACTTTCTCCTCAAGGTACTTGAACCCCCAACAAAAGCAAAAGGAAGTAGGGGCATAAGCTGATCAAAAAAATTAATAAATTTTCCAACTTTTTCCAGGTACTTGCTCAAAATCAATTAGGAAGACCGTTTAAGAGAAATCAAATACTTTTTTTTTTCCTATTAGCAAATTAAACGAATTAAAAATGGACATTAAAATATGTGTTTTAGTTACTTATTGAATACTGTTTTCGTTTTTACATTTAATGCATCATTGCTATGAAGGAATGATTTCCAAAAAATTAATTTAAATGTAATTAAAAGGATTTTTTTTCCTTGGAAACCACCTTTAAACAAGGGTCATTTTGCAGAAACAACCTTTCATTTTCAACTTATGCGTAAACCACATTTAAAGTAGGTTTTCGTTCCAATCAACCATCTCCTAGCCAAATCTACTCCTCTATACAAATTAGAGAATCAAAGATTCACTATTCATGCTACAGTAATACTACATCTACTCTACCGAATTGGAGAATCACTGTTCATGCTACAGTAAATACTAGCACATGGGGATACTGTAGCAATTTAAAAGAAAAATTGATGCAACAGAGGCGGGAACTGTAGCGTTCTTTGAAAATACTATAACATTAATACCGTAGCACAAGTATACTGTAATAATTTAAAAAACACGGGGATACTGTAGCAATCCAAAAAATCTTGACGCAACATTTAGACATGATTACTGTAGCATGGAAAAAATTATCGACAGCATACTAGTCTTCTTTAAAAACCAAAAATAACCTCAAAAATTGCACAATTAGGGTACATGTATCCTAACTAGACCTAAACGTTAACAAGTGAGTCATGTGTCTTGAGTGTGACTTTTTAAGGGTATTTTGGGGTTTTTAGAGAAACTTTTGACTGGGAGGTAGTAGATTGGAACAAAAACCCACTTTAAAGGTGGTTTACGCATATAAATTGAAAATGAAAGGTGGTTTTTGTAAAACGACCATGGATTTAAAGTGGTTTCCAGGGAAAACCCCCTAATTAAAAGGATCAAATTTAATCAAATGGAAATGTTTTCATAATCTCACCTGCAGAACATAAAATTAAAGTAAATGCACTTTAGTGTTCAACGAATATGAAAGAAATTGCTTTGAAAAGTTGGATATGAAGAAGAGAACCCAATCGGATTTGGATCTAATTCAATTCTTGTCCAATCCCAAGCAAAACCCAATTGAACATATACCCAAGAAAACAAATACACAGAGAGGAGAAAACAAGGTAGTTATGGCTAGTAATTAACACTCAATGACCATGCACAATGCAACTATACGCAAACACACATTAGCATGCACAGAAAGAGAATGTGATATAGGATATACATAATAATTTACTCTTGATGACCCATTAGCATGTACAGAAAGAGAATGTGGTATAGGATATGGATAACAACTTACTCTTGATCACCCATTCATATCATTTGGACATCAAATAAACACACATGAAAGATGTGTTTGCACCAAGGGCTCGAGCACTACCCCTAACAACCACCTTTCTTCTATACCAAGCGAAATAAAGTAAACAAGTTTTGATACAAGTTTCCTAATTACTTCCGCTTCACTCACCATATGACCATACGTTGTTGTTCTTAGTATACAGAAAAAGGAACCTCCTCTATTAAAAATCTCACTTTAGAAATAATGATAAACGAAGTAAACTAAGAACCTTACTTTATTTATTCACCAATATAGGTGGCAAACATCTGGTTCCAGGTATAACAAGAAACAAGCATATAACACTAGTGATCCAACCTGACACCAACCAACACCTGAATCCTGATAAGAGTCCAGTAAGTTTTGCTTACGGCTTTTAAGAGACTACCTACTGATCTTCAAGAATACTCTTCCACGAACAGGGGAATTGCACTTAGGAATAATATAGTCTGGCTCTTGCAGACAATACCCCTACTAAAATTTTCTCCTTTGGCACCATTTTACTGTTAGTATAGGGTATGCAGTTACATATATTTTTATAATGGAAATTCTTTGTTTTGCAATTTGCAATTAAATTATGTTACATTTAGACTAGTGGACTTGTGGTGGGTTTAGTTTCACATTCATAACACCTTAAAATTTTCTTTCACATGTATCATGTGCAACAGAACTACTAATGCAGAAAATGATTCCACTTCCCTCAACAGATCACATCCCAGCCCTCATCCAGTTGACATCCCTGCTTACAATAACCATATAAACTATCTTTCTAAGACATGATTATCAGATCTTTCCTGTCACTGATGGATAATCCCAACTGCTTTGCTACACCTGCCATTTTGAATCATCAATCCCACATCTTACTCCTACCCAATATGCATAAACTTACAGACTAACAGTAACTTGATAGCTCTTTCCTTTCCTTCTGCTAAAAGAAAACATAATCAAATAACTCTTGACTGCCAAAACCTTTTGTCACTCACAACTAATCAGAGGAAATAAGAGTAGGAAATAAGCAATGATGCCATATAACCATAGAACACAGGTGCTTCATCAATGAGGAAAGTTCCACTAGTTCAGAATCAACTTTTTACTTCAGACTATGAGGGACTTTTATGTGTAGAAATGTGTGTGCGCGCGCACACAAACAAAAGATGTATATGTTTTGTGTGCGTGCATACACACATATTTCTAGAACCTTCCCATATGACTTATCATAGAAACTCACACATAAGTTATCATGAACTGCAAACTACAGCAAACACAAGAAAAAAAGCATGTCAATTGTATGAACTGGAATACCCTCCCCAACACTGAAGTATAATATATCTCTGGAAATTATAGACCACTTCCGCAATAAAGAAGGAACAATAAAATCACAGAAGAATAAAAAACTTACTTCAATAGATGCTTAAAGCCATGTTTATCCAGGACATATAAATCCTCGCATAAAGATTTAATCTGAAAAACAAGCAAGAAAATCAAAATGTGAGGGAAGACATGCACTGCTAACAAACTATCTCCTACCAACAACAATAATAAAGGACATGTGTTTACCTCCTCTGTTGTTAATTCATGATCTTTAATAGATGAACAAGCTGGATCTTCAAAAGATAATTGACCAACAGAACCAAGAATACTGAGAGGGTTCTCGGACCAAATAAAATCTGAAACTAAACCGACCTTCCACAAGGTAGTCACTCCGTCCTCATATCTAGATAGAATGTAAGGAAACAAAATATCAGCCAACTGCATCTACAAGGTAGTCACTCCGTCCTCATATCTAGATAGAATGTAAGGAAACAAAATATCAGCCAACTGCATCTCAGATTCGTAAACGCCAGGAAAGCAACAAACATGTATTATACTGGAAAATTATTTTCTCAAGGACTATAAGAAAAAGCATGAAGCATTTTTGTACTTCTAGAGCATTATTTTTCAGTGTAACTCTTTTGATGACTTTAATCTGTTGCATACGAAATAAAATTAGTTCTCTTACAGCCCTTCTGTACCATGCCTTAATTTTTCTGAAGTTGGTGTATTAGCCAGTTTTAATCCGTATAAAATGGCACAATGCAGTTTATATGTTAAGACAACTAGTCCAATTGTGTGCCCATTAGTGTCATAAGTTTGTTTATCTTCTTGCTTCATAATTCTTGATCCAAGTCCTCGGAGTCCATAATTTTTTTTTTGCCCCTCATGCTTTGACAACAAAAGGTGATACTTTCCCAAGGACAACCATCCAACATTAGCAACTACTTCGCAAACTTATTGTTCAGGGTTTGGTAATAGTTAAAAAAAGTTGATTTTTTCAATAAATAAAGGATAATCTGATTAGTTAAGTTGCACTGCTCAGTATGTGAGAAACAGAGTTTATGTAAGATGCAAAAAATCTGATTCAAAGATGATGACCCATAGGTTGCATGAACTCAATATATAAATCATCGATGACAATTATACTTTCCATCATGTATACTATATTAATTTGTTTTAGCAAGGTTCAAGTTAAAAAGTTAGATGACAATTATACTTTCCATCATGTATACTATATTAATTTGTTTTAGCAAGGTTCAAGTTAAAAAGTTAACACATACAATACAAATATGAAAGGTATACTATATTAATTTGTTTTAGCAAGGTTCAAGTTAAAAAGTTAACACATACAATACAAATATGAAAGGCAAGGTACAAATTATTTATTTGTAAGCATAAAATGCAAAAACTAAATAAATTCTTAACAATTATTGGGCAGTATAAGCCAACAGTTATCATATAAGCTTTGTAAACTAGAGTTCTGTGATCTGTTTAAGCAATCAGACTTTGCAGATAACAAATTGTCACCCCTAAATGACCGTGTAGGATTGGGAAAGGGCACAACTAACACTTTGTATCACAAACTAAAGAAAAAACAAAAATCTACTTAATTTAGGACACAGTAATATACCATGCCTGCTCTATATTAATAAATCTGTTATAACCAACTGTTGATACACTTGTAGGCTCCTGAAATTTAGTTTCTAGGCTTCGACCCTTATGTTTATTTGCAGGTAATATTGCCTGCTTATAACTGAACAGGAGAAAAATATTGACCATAAGATTTTCATACTGTACATCATAGGATTTGTTAAATGCAACTAGGGGTGTCCAATTGGGCTTTGGCCCGGATCCGGCCTAGACGCGGAAAATCCGAGCAGACTGGCTCCAGGCTTGGGTCCGGGTTGTATTGGTGAAGCCTGTCCCGGGCCCGGCCCGACCGGCCCTGTTACTAAATTCATATATTTTTTATATATTTTTCATATATAATTATATTATGATATGGTCATTAATGTATACTTATATATATTTCTAAGTGTATATGATTTTTTTGAGGAACTCCTAGTCTTAAGTGTATATAGCTGTATATATTTAAGTACGCAAGTATATAGACATATATATATACACACACACACTTGTAAGTATACAAGTATGTTATATTATATGCTTATACACACACACACACATATACCTGCATACATACATACATATACATACATATATATACATATATACTCTTACCATAGTATAGATACTAAGATATAAGTATATATAATGTAGTTACAAGTATACTTATATGTGTATATTATAAACTTATGGTTATATAAGTATATTTTATATAAGTACATAAGTATAATTATAAATAAGTATATTGCATCTAGTATACATAAAAGTATATCATATAAGTAAAATATATAACTATACTTAAATAAGCATAATATAAGCATGTAACAAATACATATATAACTATATAATACGTATTTATAAATAAGTAATATATACTTATGTGATACTTCTCTCTCACACAAGTTATAACTTATTACTTATAAGTATATACAATACACTTACATATTATATATGTATATATAATATATAGCTATATACTAATATGTTATTATATACTAATAAATACTTATATAAATACAATAAGGTTAATCTAATTTTTTAGCAATTTTGTGCCAAAAATTCAAATAAAAAAATCCAGGCTGGCCCGGAGCGCGGCCTGGTTTGGCCAGGACACGGACCCGGGCCCAGCCTAAGCACCCCGGGTCCAGGTTTGGGCTAGGCATTTTGCTCGACCCGAACCCGACAATTCAGGCCAGCCCTGCTCGGCCCGTTGGGATAGGCCTAAATGCAACATAAAAAATTAGACCACAAACATCCTCTATAATCTTTAGAACAACGAGATTAATTGCAGCGGAAGTTTACCCTTCACGATTTCTCTTCTGCTTTGTCCCTCTAAGAACATCAACCACCTGTTCAAATGCCTCACAATCAAGAAAAAGTTTCGGGAACAAAATAAATGCCAAATGTGAAGTATGCGTCTACCAACCTTTGGCGGCTCTATAGCCCCTTGAAATAGGTGCTTAATGTCAAGAAGGCGTGGGTCAATCTTTGCAGGAGCCTTGTATCTCAATCCAATAGCATATATTTCAGCAGATGTACTACGACTCGCAGCTGGTTTAAACACCTCAACTTTATCAAAAAGCTGTCAATTGGTAATAAGTGAGATGGTAACAGTCAGACTCAGTATGTTATAGCAATGGGTAATAAACTGTAAGACGTACCTGTTTAAGGCAGTAGATGATAGCAGTGTAGTCCTGTGACCTGAAAACCTATCACACAGATAAATGAATGCATTACCATCATTGATAAGCAATAACTGCATAGCTAAAATTCAAAAGTTAAGTGGTTAACAAATATATCGAGAAATTTAAGCCTACTTGTCAGTGTAATTATAGATTACATGCTATCCCAAGTACCATATGGGTCATCAAATGTAGAATGTGAACCCTGGAAAGCAAAATATGTGTTCAACTCCACCCTCACCCCAATGAATAAGGTCAAAGATGCAAGGTAACATTGCATGTCAATCATATGGCTTGTGCATTATTACAAAGCTTAAGATCTTATTATACAAGGAGACGAAGATCCTATAAAGACTAAGCACATTATCCGAGTCTTAAATTGTTGAAACCATGGTTACTTTTTTTTAAACAAAATCCACTTGTTTTTCAATCCAAAATCAGAAATTTCCATAGATAGGGGTATCTATTTTAACTGTCATATAGTTTTGTTGTACCTATCATTCCATACGATAGGATATTTGTGCTTTAATGTGATACTATCTGCAAAATTAAAATTAATTACATGTGAATATAGCAAGATTGTAACTAACTATATACTTCCTAACTTATAATTGGCAGCATAAGTGCAAAACCCAATACAACCTTATAAAATTTCATATGTTTTCCAGTCAACTAAGTTCTCACATATTACTTCCAGAAATTTCATCACTTGCTTGCACCCAATTAAGCAAAACACCACAATTATACAGTACTTCCAAACATGAAAGCCTATCCAACAAATAACTCATAAAAAATCAATCTTTCTTTTTCCCCTTCCGAGTGAAATTATCCGCACTCTACCAGTTCTACTCTTAATAACTAAGCATGAAATAATCAAATTATCTAGAATTCTATATCTTTTCCGGTCACCTAATTATACCTTCAAGAAAAATCCATCGATGGATTAAGGCCAAATAAAAAATTCACCCCATTCCATAATAGTCAGACTACAATGCCAAGAACAGTCAACAGCTTATCCAACAAATAACTCATAAAAAATCAATCTTTATTTACCTTAGTAACAAAAGTCCCCTTGGGCGCCAAGAAATAAGTAGCCAACCTAACGGAATCCACCACAAGCGCCGACTGGCTCGTAGCATCCCTCGTCCAATTAGCACCAACATTAGGCGATCCGTCGTGAATCACCGTGTTGACGGCCACGAGATCGATGCCGAGTACGAAGGAGCCGACGGGGGCGTGGCGTACGGCGACCTGGGTCCAGCCTCCGGGGGCGGCGCAGAGGTCGAGGATCGAGCGGGACGAGGGGAGGATGCGGTACTTGGCATCGATCTCGAGGAGCTTGAAGGAGGCACGAGATCTGTAGCCTTGTTCCTTTGCTAAGTGGTAGAACTTGTCCTGGCGCTGTTTTCCCTTTGCTTTCCCCATTTTTAGGGTTATGGGGCTCTAGGGTTTTGAGGTTCTAGGGTTTTGGGGGTCAGATGGTGGGAGACGAAGAGGGAAGTTAAGGAGTATATTACGAGGGCGGCTAGGTTTGGTATAGGGTCGGGTCAAGGATGAAAGTTTTGTACCCGTACCGCATCCGAAAATAACTGGGTTTGAATTTCTCAACCCGAATGTCTTCCTCCGTTCTCCAGTGTTAAGACGCCTCTCTCTTTTTTATATTTATTATTATTACTAGTATGCAATACGCGCGTTGCACGTGATGCATTTGAAGATCAAATTATATTTGGCGCGTCATTTTTAAGACTATTTATTGAACATATAGCTCATATAGAACAAATACTAATAATATACATTTCCAAATAATATCTACTAAACACGTTTAAATCAGATAAATCGCAAAAGTAAGAAACACAGTAATGACATCAACTACATCATCATTTAGACATTCTTGTTGAAAGCAAACATAATTGCAGCTCTATTGATAAAAAGGAGGAGATCAAATGATGAAAAGAAGAGAAAACTATGGAAAACTAAGATAAAAGTGAAGGTGTTAGGATTCTGGGTAACAAAGAAACTCGAAGCTTCATATGCCGAAGTAATGGCAACGCGTAATTTCAAACCACTGAACAAATCATAATGTACAGCAGAAGGCAAGCAATATACATTCATCACTTCCATCCTATAAAAAGAAGGAAGATAAACACAGAAGGAGTTATAAATAAGAAAAGGAACTCATTGTCAGCTAATGCTCATCATCCTCATAGTTGGGCGCCTCTTTGATTTTAACAGCCCATCATCCTACATATATTAACATAACATTTTATAAGAATATGAAATTATAACTCCTAACTCTCACTGCAACTGAGCAAGTTATATTTAAAAAAGTACCAAACATGCATTTAAAACGAATTTATAAAAGATGTACCACCGCATAAAATATCTCAGATTCAATCCAGTGAAAAAAAGTTTGGCATATGAGAGAATTTTAGTATGAAATTTCTTAACACTCCTTATAATTTTAAAGTTTTCATATGGTGGAAGGGACTCTAAGACAATTAGCTATCTCCAAGAATTCAAGAACGTGTCATATTGCAGTTTACACATTTTGTTTGAATCATATACACATCTGCATGTTTGAAGTCCACAAGTTAAAGTTGTTTTGATTTTGACATTGGCCTTAGATGTAGACGCAGTAGCTTCAGTAACTCTTGCTTTAGATCTGATCCTTGTTGTTTCTAATGGAAATCAATGGAAAATACATTTTTTTAGTGAAAAGCATCCATAGTTGAAAACATAAAGAGCATTTATTAGGATGGTATAAAAAATGTTTTAGATTCATCCTTATATATTGCTTTGAATTTATCCTTATTTATTCCAACTTAGGTGATGTTAGAGAGAAATAAAAAGAGAGACATAGACAATAATTTTTCGACAATTCAATTTGGAACAAGCAGTAAGCAATGCTTCTTAAATTCAACAATAAGTGCAATATATCTCGTGAAATCATATGCTCAAGAAATCAAACCAAAATAAATCCAGGATTGAAAAACTAATCCAAACTTATATTTAGCAGAACTTTAGTAAGGATTAAAATATAAACAAACTCGAATTCATTCAAAGCATGATGTATTTATAGATCCATATACATTATAACTATCTATTGTTTATTCATTTGTATAACTAATCATAGTGTAGAGTGTGTACTAAAAGAATCAGCCACATTAAGTAAGAAAAATATCATCCAGGAAAAACACAGCTTGCAGGTACACCCATTCCTTAGAGTTGACGCTACTACTAAATTGATTAACTTCCATCCATAAAGTCATTGTAGATCATTATACATTTTTTAAAAGATCATAAAATTGGTGAGGAAATGTGCATCCTAAGAATAAAATGAAATAAAAAAAATTATAAAAAAGGTTTAAAGAAATTGTTAAGTTTGAGCAGAAAATGTACTATATTTACATTTGATCTATCCCCAAGCATGATTATTATTGTAGGTTGTCTAAAAATTGTTGCAGATAGCTGATCCTCATTAGTGTGAAGTTGGAGAAGAAAAATGGTGGGCTCCAGAATCTTCATTTCTTCAAGAACCAAATATAAGGATTACAAGCTAACGATCCTTGCAGAACTTGAGAAAAGAGATTACAATTGACGATCTCTTCAAGCACAAACATGATCCTCACGTTTCAACAACAAAAATGTGGAGGTCATTCCTGCGTTTCAACAACAAAACGCGAAGGTCATTCTCACATTTCAACAATAAAATGCGGAGGTCATTCCCGCATTTCAACAACAAAACGCGAGGTCATTCCCGTGCTTTTTAAAATCAAAACGCGGATGTCATTCCCACGTTTTAACAACAAAACACAGAGGTAATTCCTGCATTTCAACAATAAAATGCGGCGGTCACATCCCCGCGTTTCAACAGCCAAACGTCAGGCTCACACTCGCGTTTTGAAGCTAGAACGCGGACGTCACGTTTGACCGTATCAAATCACTTGAACGGTCTTCCATTTAATGAGGCAATTAAGCCCCCATTATGGAGAGATTTATGGGGGCGGTTACACCCCATAAACCCTCATTAAAGAGTGATTTAAGGAGTCGGTTACACTCATTTAATGGGGCCATTAAGCCCCCATTAAGGAGTAATTTAAGGGGGTCAGTTATACCCATTTAATGGGGTCATTAAGCCCCATTAAGGAGCAATTTAAGTGGTCAGTTACACCCTTTAAACCCTATAAATAGCTGGTTTCACAGCTGGAAAAAGGGTCGGCAATATTGAGGAACCCTTAGAGTATTTTGTGAAGGCTTTTTGTTGAAGCTTTGGAGTTTTTCGGCCTTGGCTTTTGAACCGAGTTTCGGTTGAAGAACTTCTGTCGGGTGTAAAAATTCGGGTCTCGATGCGAGATTTGTATTATCTGTGTGTTTGTTACAAATCAATAAAATCTGGATTCACAACAGAAGCGGAGAGAAGGCTCTCCTTATTTAACGTGGATTCTTCGGTAACGATAGGACGCCTCCCTCGGTGCTTGAGCCAAGTTTGCTTTCCTTGGACGATACGATCAACGTCGCGGTTGGAACTTCAGTACGCAGTAGAATCTCCGGAGTGATTGGGTCCGAGTCTACCCGAGGCCAAACAAATGCTTGTGCTTGTAGGCCGAATGCTTGACTGTCAGAAGTCAACTACTCGAACTTGATAAATGTCAAGGCCGGAAGCTTAGAGAGGGCTACAATGCAATAGTTTGTAGAGCCAATGAGCCTCAGATCTGAGAGTTCAGATCGAGTCTACTTCAACAATCTAAGCTTACAGCCAATAGTGTTCTACCAAGCAAGCCAGTGAAAGTCCCTGTCAGAAGAGACAATTCTAGCAAATTCGGTCTAATTCCAGCAGCCTCGGTCTGATTCTAGCAGCCTCGGTCTGATTTAGTAGCCTCGGTCTGATTTAGCAGCCTCTGTCTGAGTTAGCAGTCTCGGTCTGATTTAGCAGCCTCAGTCCGATTTCCAGCGGTCCTTTGAACGTTGGTCCAATGTGGATTTAAATAGGTAAGGGATGGCATGGGTCATCCCTTGATTTGTGGGATTTGAACACTAATAGGGGTGAGGAGCATCAGCCACCCTAGCTATGGGATGTCACCATCTAGGGGTAGGGAGTAGCATACTCACCTATAGCTATGGGATGTAACCGCTATAGGGGGTCTTGTCAGCCGCCCTATCTTGTAGCTATCAATGGCTATTTGTAAAAATAGGAGAGTTTTGGCCAATGGCCATGCCTAGGTGAGAAGCGTCATGCTCTCCCCCTTGAAACGTGGGATATGACCGTTGATGTGATTGTTCCCATGTCAGAAGTAGGCAGTTGACAAACATGTTGGTGAGTCTGTCAGGCGAGCTTGGCCTTCAGGCGAGCTTGGCCTTTAGGCGAGCTCACGTCTAAGGCGAGCTTGAGCCTAAAGGCGAGCTTTAGCTCAAACAGGCGAGCTCAACAATCAGATGAGGTCAGACTCATGCTGGCGGGTAGTCCTTAGTCGAGTCGTCTTCAATCGAGTTGTGCTGGCGAGTCAGCCAAACAGGTAGGCTTGATTCGTGTGGATGACTCAAGCAGCTAAGTGTGGGCAAGCTCATGCTGGCAAGTCGACTTCGGGAGGGAGACTGACACCGCCCTTTGAGTCGACACGAAGGGGTGTTGTCCCGAGGTCTTGGCGAGTCAACTTCAAACAGGAGACTGCCATCGCCCTCCTAGTCGACGAGGGGGTGTCGGCTACTTGGTCTTCAAGGGGCGGACTGACACTACCTTCTGAGTCGATGAGGGGGTCTCAGCCGCTTGGTCTTGGTGAGCTGACTAGAAGGTCTCGGCAACATGGTCTTCGAAGTAAGGACTGACACCGCCCTTCGAGTCGACGAGGAGGTCTCTGCCGCTTCGAGTTGATGAGAGGATCTCGACCCTTCAAGTCTACGAGGGGGGTCTTGGCCGCTTAGTTTCGGTGAGTCGACTTGGGGGTCTCGGCAACCTGGTCTTTAAAGTGCAGACTGATACAGCCATTCGAATTGACGAGAGGGTCTCCACCACTTCGAGTCGTCGAGGGTCTCTCGACCCTTCGAGTCGACAAGGGAGGTCTCGGCCGCTTGGTCTTGGCAAGTCGATTGGAAGGTCTCGGCAACTTGGTTTTTGAGGTGCGGACTGACACTGCCATTCGAGTCGACGAGGGGGTGTCCGTCGCTTCGAGTCGACGAGGGGCTCTCGGCCCTTTGAGTCAACGAGGGGGGTCTCGGCTGCTTGGTTTCGGCGAGTCGACTTAGGTGTCTCGGCAACCTGGTCTTCAAAGTGCGGAGACACTCAGTGAGTCGGCTTCAGACTATCACCACTCTTCGAGTCGTCTGAGATGTTGATTCGTGGCACTCGACTCCGAGTCGACTAGCGGGAGCTCAGTCGTGTAGAACCCATCTGGACTCTTGGGCAATTTTCACTCCCCACAGAATTGAAGATCAGTTATTCTCTGATTTCGATTAAAAGGATCATTTTCCTTTCTGAAATTAACTCTTTTATAGAGTTCTTAAACTCGTTCAA